TAACTGATATGTATGTCCCACAGAACACTGTCGTTTCCATGTTACAGTGTTTTTAATCGGTCGCCGAAACATTAGCAAATAATTTATCATATTCCAAGGTGCCTTGAAGTTCTTGAAAATGTTAAATTTACGTAATCATTTAATATACTGACAGTAAAGGTACTAACTCAAAGCTTAGGCGCGCGCGTTTCACCAATCCTATGCCGCTTTCTGACACAATTGCCAAAGGTTCGGCTCATCAGTGGGTCTTCCTGCGTTAATCACGTATTTACTTGCATATGCATTCAGTTTTTCATCTTGTCTATAAACTTTTTCAAGAAATTAATGCGCGAACATCGAGTTATTCTTTCAGAACAAACAGGCGTTTTTGCTTTGGAAGAAATTTGAGCAGTACAAAGCAACTGGATTCGCAGAATGTAATGAAGTCATACAATTTCGTGACGTCTTATTCGACTGCGTACGGCCAACGCCTTTTACTAAGGCAAAACAAACTGCCCAATTGAATATGGCCCTATAGAGGCGAAACTTGGTAGAAAAATAACGCGTGAACCATCGGTCTACGATAGAGGAGAATCATTTTTGTGCTATGTACTAACATGGAATTTATATCCATGACAGGCTTTTGAAGTAGCATTATTCTTATGCGATGAGATCAACTTACGAATCGGAGCAAAAATTTCGCTCTTGCAGACATGTATGTTAGCGCAATGATTTTTCCCACGGAGAGTTGTTTCGTCACAATGTAGCGGTCGCCTCCAACGCAGTTTCGGATTTCTGAGTCATCAATCGACCGCTCCTTAATTTCTTCCTGTGTCATAGCTTCAGTTCGCTCGGTAGAAAAGTAACTGAGTGCAAATAATGGTGGACAGACCAGCGCTGCGGCTACGGGCAGGGTCCCGGAGCTCATGTTGTTTGTCCACTTGAAGTTAATGTAGTCCTGCATTTCGCGTGTGCCCATGAACCGTCGACATTTACCAACCAAACCTAACCACTCTGTGTCCGCACAGTTCCATGAGATTTTTGTGAGGGTTGGGATTGTCCATTTGATATTCTTTCAAGGAAGGAAGAAAATCCATTTAGCGCTTGCAGCAGGAAGGTGAAAAGAATATTGTCCAAAATAAAAACAAAACTTAATAACAAAATACCCCGATTACTTGCATTAAATCATGTTTAACTGTAGGCTGGATTGTATGTCATACAAAGGCAAGTCACAAACGTCCTTCTCGTCGACTCAAAGATTTACCGAGATAGCATCAGCTGCTTCGTGTTCATACAGAAAGCACAAGGTGATACCTAAAAATTAGAACTATTTTCTGTAGATAAGTATACTAACAGAACTGCCGACACTTTTCTTTCCCAGTTAACAATGCAATATCAACGAGAAACCACCACAATGCACACAAGGATTTTTTATTCAATCTTCTTATAATGCTCTTAGTGATTTTGCGAAGACAAAATGTAAGGAGCGATACGCCCATGATGGTTTATTTTTCGATGTCAAAGGAGTTGCTAATTTTGAAGTTGTTGCTCATCGCACCAGGGTGAATCATCAGTACTAAGCGCATTTACTGAAGTGATTGCGTGAGCAAGTTAGAAAATAAAACGGCCCGAGTGGTGACTATCAAGCGACTTACTGTTTCATTCTGGCAACTCGCCTTCCCAATTGGCGACAAAAGGTATGTCAACGGTTTCTCACTGCCTAATCTTTCGAACTAGCTTTCCAAAATTTCTTTTTTTATTTCTAATAATGAAGGAAAAAGTCAATAGAACCGAATATGCAAGTTCCAGGAAGCAGTTCAGAAACGGAAGATGTGAACACTGCAACATTAATCTTACTTTCCTGACGTGTAGGCTTCTGTCTAGAATTTTTAGTCAAATTTAAACGTGGGATGGTGAGAGATATACGCATGAAAGGAAGGAAAAAGAAAAAGGGAAAGGGTTAGTTAAGAAAAACGAAAACCATTTTTTCGATTAGTGAAAAATCCGTCACGACAAGTGCATCTAATCGAAAGGGTAATATTTTGAAAGGGATTCCTTTTAAAGATATTATCCTAAATATATACATTTCGACTAAAAACTCCTCTTTTTTTATCTCATCATACTCAAATTTCTACATTTATCTTATTGCTCAATAAAGAACTTCCTTCGAAATATTTTTCAAAACCTCCCCTACCGTAGTTTGCCTATACGTATATATTTGTGAGATAAAAAGTCATTTGAACATTTTTTATGCTAGCCAATATTTTTTTAGATATTATATTATGATAAAGGGCGAATTTTGAATAAGCATCATGACTACAGACTCGAAAAAACTTACGGGATAAACATTAGCGCAACTTGACATCATCGTTACCGCCAAATCTTCGAACTCGTCCGCATTTGCTAGCACTTGCACTGTTCGTTGACGTTCGTGCGAGGGTATGACCTGGGCGATTTGCCGGGATAGTGAGCTGGCGAATACTGCCAGGAAAACACTGTCCTTACATTTCCGCCAGAGGAAGAGTGCCAATTCATGACGCTGCCGCAAGATGGCCCACAAGAACAATTCCTGGTTTTTTATGCATGTAAAGAAAACCACCAAGCATAACTAAATAGCAGAAAGCATGTCATGTTGCAGGAGCAGGTTACTCGTTGATTTTCAATTGAAGTTGTTTTACTCTAACGATAAAAGCGGCCGACATTTTATATGCACTTATGAAACAAACAGTTACGCTTGTTGTAAAATGGAGATCATAGAATTTCGGCTTATGTACTGAAAAGGATCAAAACAAATTTTTGAATAGTATCAAGATAACATTAATTAATTAGAAGAATAAAAAGTATTCCAATCAACTGCCTTTTTCAGTTATTTATTCAGCTAACTTTGCCATATTTAGCTAAAGAGCTTAATTACCTGAAATGGTCCATGGAATGTCCTTTGCGCCAATTCTTCTGAGGAAGACTACGAGTAAGAAAAAAGCTTGGTTACGACCAACAAGTGAATCTGTCGGCAACTGCCTAACACATTTATGGCTGCCCACGACACAGCATTTACACTGATTTAGAAGACATTGCTTGGTGGCTGCCATTCAGAAAACCAAACGTAATGTTCTGTTAAGAAACTAAGATGTGTCTACTTGAAGCACCCTGTTTGCTATTTAGCTACACTGGGGAATAGGCCCAAAATGATACATCGATAGACTGCGTTCCTATCCATGGGTCGAGCTTAAATCACTTCTCAATTCGTCTTGTTTGCGGTGTAGGTGATTATTTTGACGGCTGCAAAGTTAATGTTGTGGTCCGTTTCGTAGGTGTGAGCAACAACTTGCGAAAATCCCTTGCCACTTCGCGCAACCAAAGCCTACTTTTTTAATTCGCAATCCCGCTTAGTAGCAAACTACGCTAAAGGTTAGTTCATCTCGAAATAATTTGGATATGTTTATCTAACAAATCGCATACCATAGAAAATTCCGGGTAATAAAAACTTCACCTTATTTCGAAGGTGACTTTTCGTAGTTTTAAGCAATAGTCAGAACGAGTTTCGGAATTTCTCCATAATGTTGCATTTGAAGTTATACTACATTCAATATGTTAAGCACTTAGATACAAAGATCAGACGTTCTCGGCTTGATTTCCTTTAGCGATATGAACACATCTTTGCTAAGACTTCTTAATTAGGCTGTTTTATAGGTTGTCCTAGGAAATTGAGTCACACGCATACACCCTACTGTCCAATAGGAAACGTGTTAACCCTGTGCACTTCCAGGGAGCAAGCCATAGATCCATCCCAGAGGAAATAAATAAATATAGTTAAGGGGTATATTAAGATGTGATGTCCTATTTCACCGAACAAGAATAAGTTGAAAGGAGTCGTGCTAACAGACACTATGGATACCAACGTGTTCCTTCTCTTACGCTGTCTTAACACAAACAGGAGAGGGCTTTTCTACGATTTTTCCTCGAGTACAATCCCCTAACGGTAACTAAGAAAAAAGAACCATTAGCGTCCTTGCCAGTCCACTACCCATGTTTCAAAATTACATTCGCAGTTCCAGCCGCCATTAACTGAGGCAGTTTTGTTGCAAAGACTCTATAAGTGAGTTTTAAGTCAAAACGGGGCAGAGAATTTCCTCCTGAAATCAGGCCAGGTTGATAATAATTTTTAATAATAAGTGCACTTTAAGAATCAAAAGATGTATAATATTATGTCTCTGTGCAGGCTTATCAATATCAGCAGTGCGCGAAGTTACATTTGCCATTGTTATTAGGTTAAACATTTAAAGGGTATTACTTTATGCATAGTTTGATTAGGCGTGCGATTTCTAATTTCTTTTATGTCGTACGACAAGGTTTCATCATCTCGTGACGTTGTCGGTGGCCTGGGTGTGCTTGCTATCGCGGTCCCTTGTAGCGTTTGTAGCCGCCCTAAGGCTCCCAAAGACCAACTAAACACCCGCCAACGCGCTTCGTAATACGCCGCGAAAGAGTAACGAGGCTGCGATAGCAAGCATCCCCAGGCCACCCACACCGTCACAAGATGATGACACTTTGCGTCCTCACACCTCTCAACAAAACACGGAACAAGTTCGACAGGGCGGCATGAGCTAATTGTCGAACCCCTTCCACTCCCCTCTCCTACTACACTTTCACCTCTCAGGTCCCCAATTAAGACTAGAATATGACCACTTTGATCCCTTTAAACTACC